CCTTAACTCATCCATAAAAAGACACAGGCTAACAGAATGGATTAGAAGACAGAACCCATCCTTCTGCTGCATACAAGAAACACACCTCACCCTCAAAGACAAATCAAATGGACCCAAGAAACAAGCAGGGGTAGCAATATAATATCTAAAAAATTAGACGTTAAAATAAAATCAATCAAAAGAGATGAAGGAGGTCATTACATACTCATCACAGGTGAAATCCACCAAGATGAAGTTTCTATTCTGAACACAAAGGCATCCACGTTCGTAAAAGAAACATTTCTAAAACTTAAATCACATATAAAGCACCACACATTTATAGTGGGAGATTTCAACACCCCACTCTCACCACTATACAGGAATACTAGACAGAAACTCAACAAAGAAGCAAAGGGTCTAACAAAAGTAATGACCCAACTGGGATTAACAGACATCTATAGAACATTTCACCCATATGAAAAAGAATATACCTTCTTCTCACCACCACATGGACCCTTCACAAAAAGCAACCACATACTTGGCAATATATCAAACCTCAGCAGCTACAAAAAATTGGAATGACTCGATGCATCTTATCAGACTACCATGCGTTAAAATTAGAATTCAACAACAACACAAATTGCAGAAACCCTACAAACACATGGAAATTGAATAATGAACAACTGCACCATTCCCGGGTCAAAGAAGAAATAAAAAAAAATTAAAGACTTCCTAGAATTCAATGAGAATGAAGACACAACAGACCCAAACCTATGGGATACTTTGAAAGCCGTGCTACGGGGGAAGTTTGTAGCACTAAGTGCCCACATGAATAAACTGGAGAATAGTTATAGTAGAGAATTAACAGCACAGCTGAAAGCTCTAGAACCCAAAAAAGCAAACTCCCCCAGGAGGAGTAGACACCAGAAAATAATCAAATTGAGGGCTGAAATCAATAAAACAGAAACTAGGAAAACAATACAAAGAATTAATGCAAGGAAGAGTTGGTTCTTTGAGAAAATCAACAAGATAGACAAACCTTTGTCCAAACTTACCAAACAGCAGAGAGTGAACATGCAAATTAACAAAATCAGAAATGAAAAGGGGGACATAACAACAGACTCTGAGGACATCCAAAGAATCATCAGGTCATACTTTGAAAACCTGTACTCCACAAAATTTGAAAATTTAAAGGAAATGGACGACTTCCTGGATAGCTATCACTTGCCAAAATTAAATCAAGAACAGATAAGCAATTTAAATATACCTATAACCCCTATGGAAATAGAAGCAGTCATCAAAAGTCTCCCAACCAAATAAAGCCCAGGTTCAGATGGCTTCAGTGCAGAATTCTACCAGAAATTCAAAGAACAGCTTATACCAATTCTTCTCAAAGTATTCCATGCAATAGAAGCAGAAGCGTCTTTGCCAAACTCTTTCTACGAGGCTTCAATAACCTTCATCTCCAAGCCACACAAAGACACAACTAAGAAAGAGAACTTCAGACCAATATCCCTCATGATAGCAAAGGAAATAAAAGGTAGTACTGATCTCCTGGTTTCTCCCTCTACCCAGGTCCTGGGCAACCTGGCCTTGTTCCTGCTCCTGATTCCTCCTCTCCTTCTCTCACCCACGTGGTTTCTCCTGAGCACCCCCCTGTCACTCCATACCAGTCCTCTCCAGGGCCTGTGCCTTCTCCTTAGGGAGTCTTTCCTGGTCTAGGGGCCTCTAATCCTCGGGTTCCCTCCCAGTCCTGGGATAAATCTTATCTGATCTTCTCCAGGTGACCTTCCCTCACCCCAGGATCTGTCTTTGACAGGTGATTGCTCCTCGCTGACAGCTCAAAGGCTGTCAAAGTTTGCATGGCTGTGTTGTACATGCTTTAAGTGGCTGGATAAGGGCCAAAGGCAGCTCCATGACTCCAGTTTCAAGATCCCAAACTGCTGAGCATCATTCTAAACCACTCCCTTTCCTTTTCCATTTATGAGCAAGCACCTTCTGTCTGTTCTCTGTCTTTCCATTTTTGCTCATGATTGGTTAACAACCACACTTTGTTCCCTTTCCCAATGAACTCCATGTGGGTTTGTTGAGTTTGGTGGATCGTGTTTCACTGCCCAAAGCTGCAGCAAAGAAAAACAATAACAATCATCATCATCATCATCATCATCATCATCTGCAGAATAACTGTTAACAGTGCATTTGTTGGGCTAGCACAATACCTCAATTTAAGAGCACTTCTTGTTCTTCCAGAGGACTGGAGTTCTATTTCTGCCTCCTAAACCTGATGGCTCTCAACCATGTGTATATACAGCTCCTAAAGATGATATTTTCTCCTGATCTCCACGGGCACTTGCATATGCATGTACATATATACACATAATTTTAAATCAATATTATGTATATATATATAAATTTCGAGACAGGGTTTCTCTTTGTAGCATTTGCTGTCCTCCAACTCAGAGATCCACCTGCATCTGTCTCCACAGTGCTGAAATCAAAGGCTTGAACCACCAGTGTCTGGCTAAAATTCCTTTTTAAGTGTATTTGCTTTACTATTGATTAACAAGAAATCCCCAAATTAAGTAACTACAATAAAGCTCCAGAGTGCAACAGTTAAGTGTCTTTGGCTAGACTGGAGGTCACTGCCATCCTTCCTCTGTGACACCTTGATTAAAAACTTGGCTATCAGTAGGGTCTAGTAGCTCAAGATTGGATGACCTGTAACTTCAGGACTCAGGAGGATAAAGAATGGAGGTAGCCAGAGTTTGAGGACAGCCTGGGCAACACAGTAAGACATTTCTCAAAAACCCAACAAAATAAGAGGCACACTTGTCACCCAGCACTTAGGAGGTAGAGGCAGGATAATCAAGCCTGAGAGGTCCTCTTGTGCTGCATAGAGAGCTCAAGATGAGTGTGCACTACATGAAGTCTTGTGTAAGGAAAGGGGGAGCCCACAGACTTTCACAAAATCTACACACCAAACAGAACAAATTAAAACCTTATCATTTTTTTATATCTACACTCAGTCTCTAAAGCTTAGCAAGCAATAACCTAAGAGATTTTAAAAATATTTCACTTTGGGGAATATTTTTGGGCTGCCAAAAAAAAGTTGCAAGGGCATCTTTGAACAGCCAGAAAAGCAGATGTAAGATACATACACAACAATATATAGGGAAAATCTCTAAAATGTTGTGAAAAATCAATCACTACTTAAACAGCATATACAAGTATTCTTTCTCTACTGCTTTAAAATTGGGTAATGGGGGACCTGTCACCGTGATCCATCAATCCCAGTTACCCCAGAGGCTGAGACAGTAAAGTAGGCTACCTTATACCCAGCAGTTCCAGACCAGCCATGGCATCATCACAAGAACTAAAGAAATTTAAAAATTAGGGTAAGCAGTAATTTGGATTTCAGTGAGGCAAAGAGTTGAAACCCCACATCCTCCCTTTATTCTCAATTGCATTTTGACAATAAATAAGAGAAATATGTTGCACCACATACATGTGAGCTTCATAAATCCACTTTAGCTTAGCTTCCAATGCTTAAATTCAGTCACGTCTACTTGGTTAATTATAGGCTAATAAGCTATTGCATCTAGAATAACGAAAACTAGCAATTACTCTTTCCAAATAACCCCAAAGCAAGCACCAAAGTGCTTGCAAAGTAGGTATGAACTTTATTTCCAAACTTACAGCAGTAGCTGCTGTGGTGGAAGAGGGTGCAGACATTGTATCACTTGAGAGGCCGTCAGTTGGGGCTCCTATTGCTAACAATCAGAAAGATGAGAGCTGAAACCCATCACTGGAGTTAGCAGCTCGCTCCTCGATCAAGGAGGACTTCATAGCAGTGGCTGGAAGTGTATCCCAGAAAGAACTGGTGGAAAGGCATTGGAGGTGGAGGCACCTCCAGAAGAGTATGCTTTTTAGGGCAGGAGAGACTGGGTGGCTTGCAGAAGGAAGCAAGAAAATACATCAGAAACCACAACACAGGGGAAACACCTCTCCCTGAGCTGGAGGGCTGGACTCCATTGAATCGGATGAAATGGAAAGGTCAAGGAGTCCAGGGAGGAACAGGAATTCCGTGCTGGGTCTGGAGCAAAGCCCCCCTCATTTTCTAGTCTCATTTTAATCCAGCGGAAGAGGTAGCTCTGGGTGGGGGTGAGGGGAAAAATGTTTGGGGGCAGGTGCACCTGGGGGTGCTTGGATTCTCCTGCCTATGTGTAATGCTCTTCAGCTGTGCATGGGAACTTTAGGTGGGTTCACATGTTCTAAACTGAATCCTCAGCACACGATAAATTGTCAGATTTTTGGCTGCATTTGTGAACACCGGCCAGCGCTAGCACCTGTAGCCATCCCGAGTGTGGTTTAGGCACCATCACTTAGCAACACCACCCGGGCTCTACCCAGATGCTTTCTGGAACCTGTAGTTCGCAGCCACCCTCTCAGAGTGTGTGTTCTGGGCAGGCCATGGCATGGCCCTGGCCGGGGATTGGCGGGAGTGCTCGCCTTGGCATCCTGAGGACGGGGTTTGGAAAGGTGCTACCAAACACCATCTGGACTCGCACAAGCCTCTCTCTACCTGCACCTCCCTATTATGGTGGAAGCTTAACCCAATCTGCCTTCTCTGACTCCTCAAGGAAGATACTTAAGGTGTACAGAATGGCAGTTAACTGATTGCTTCTCCACCCATACCTCCTGTTGAATGTGAGCCCACCAACTCCTGACTACCCCCGCCCCCAACACGCACACATTCGTCTCTTGTCAGCAGGAGGAAGCCAGACTTAAACCGACGCCCCTATACCCGAGGAGTCTGCGTTGTTTAGGTGGAAGCCCTACAGGTTTCTATATACAAAGAAGTTGGAATGTTTGGTAGACCCGTTCCAAACACCGCCCTCCAGGTGACAAGACTCCTGGAGTCATCTCAGTCCAGACTCCACCCTTAAAAAGTCTGCCCTTTGTGGCTTCACCCCTGGAGGGCATTAAAATCCCCAACTCTGGATTCACCTCTTGGCTTCTGGTTTTCTGTTCCCCTGGGGCCACCCAGGAATTCTTTGCTCTTGTTAAACCATTATGCTGTGCCTCTTCCGCTCACCTGGTCCTGTCACTCAGGCCTCACTAGCCAATCAGAGCCTCTAGCGGACCCGCCAGTCAGATGGGCGGGTTCTTCCTGGAGCCAGGTTTTCTGCTCAGCTCTTTGCCTCAGGAAGTTAGAAGTTGTCTTCTGTCCTGTGCCTTTGGTTCTGGGGAGAACATTGGTCATCTCAGCAGCTGCACTATGGTGAGTGAGGTGCTGCTCTTCACAAACTGAGAGGAGCGGTGGGCCAAAGTGAGTGAGGGACTGCTTCCCCCACGTGAGGAGAGTGGCTGGCCATGATAGTCAGGGGCTACTGTCCTCAGAGTAGGTGGAGTGTCTGACTGAGGCTCGGAAGCTGGCGTAGTTGGTTTTCTCTAGGCTGGGTGGGAGCCAGAGGCCAGACACAGAGTTCACCATATTCTTGCCTGGTCCTGCCTGGTCCAGCGTGGTGCTGTGTGATCCGTGCAACTCTGTGAGCCGGGCTGGCAGCCTCTGATTAACTTCACTTCCCGGCAGAGGACTGGGAGAGAAACTGTGTTTAGAAATATCCTAGTTATTGATATCTCTGTGGTGCTCATATCATCCCACATTTGCTAAAGTCGGAGAGTACTAATCTCTCTAGTATCTTCCAGAAGTTCTGTACTTTTAACATTTAACATTTAGGTTTAGGATCCAGATGAAGTTAATTTTTTGGAGCTTCTAAACCATATCTCCAAGTGTGGTAGTATTTTATTTGTACTTTAACAAATAAAGCCTGCCAGGCCATGGTGGCACACACCTTTAATCCCAGCACTTGGGATGCAGAGGCAGGTGAATCTCTGTGAGTTCAAGGCTACCCTGGGCTACACCAGATTTTCTAGTCTAAAAGAGAAACAGAACCAGGTGATGTTGGTTCAAACTTTTAATCCCAGTACTTGGAAGATGGAGACAGCAGTAATACTGCTAGGTGGAGAGAGGAATATAATGCGAGAGGAGACAGTAGATCATTGTCTTCAATCTGAAGATTCATAGGGACAGGATTGCTCTTTTGTTCTGAGGATTCAGTAGAGTTAAGAACTAGGGGTTGACTGCTCTGCTTCCCTGATCTTTCACCATTAACCCCTATATCTGACTCTAGGTTTTTATTATTAAGACCAATTATAATTAGTGCTACAATCTCCATTGCTAACCTGTAATGCAGAAGAGTAGAATTCAGGGTAATAGACTTGATAGTTTAAGGATTTACCAATTCTTAGAAGGTATTAAGTCATACAAAGCAGAATTTATGTAAGGGAGGGTTGTATCCCAAATACCCTAAAGATAAGTATGCTAACCACACCTGTTAGAGATTAGTATTTTTTAGATGTAATGTTTGTTTACCAGGATTAAGTAACCTTTATAGTCCCATAACAAAAGAGACAACCCTGACTTACAACCAGCCAAAAGGACCACCTCCCCATCAAAGGCCTCTAACATGCTGCACAAGAGGACATTATAGGGTCACAACCAACGTTAAGTCCCAGTGTGCAATAAACTTATAATAATTCTAGAACAGTGGCTTCTCCAGTCTTTTTGAAAATTAGTTTTGAGAAAAAGTCTCCTATATTAATTGATGTGGACTTGAACTCTGTCTGAGGTCACACAGGGCATTGCTCTTGTTATCCTCCTGACTAAACACCCTAAATTCTTGGATTACAAGTCTATAACATCACAGAGTTCTAAAATTACCAGTTTGAGTAACATAGTTGACTGTCCATTGCAGTAACAGGAAAAGGAATTGTGTGTGGAACGTGACTTCTCCCTTCAGACAGAAAAGGAGGAACAGTGCACTGTGTACATTGCAGGGAGAAACAGTCTAGACAATAACTATATCAGAGAGTGGAGTTTAAGGCAGTGAGCTGCAGTGTTCTCCATTATAAAAAAGGGCCTGATGAGGCAGGGTGAGTGACTTTCTGTATAATTTCCCTGCTTGTATTAATTCCTTCTATGTGAATGAAGACAGGCAGAATTGGTGGGTGTACAGTTTAGTGAGGATAGCTTGAACTACTAAATATTCAATTTTCAATTAGCCAACTCTCTTATGGAGATATGTACAATTCTGGTTGACATAGTTAAGTCAACTCAGAGTTTTGAGACACAGGCTATTGGCTGTAACTCCATGCATCAGCTTACAGCACTCATGTTACACGTGACAAAGTCACGCAATGTCTTATTAGTGTCATTATCCCTACCAGGAAAATACCTACTCTGTTTCAAAGTCAGTATAGGTAAGTTTTCTTTCAATTTTTAAAATCTCTTTAAAAAAGTAAATTATTGATAACATTTTAAAAATTTCATTTTCTTTAAATGCATTACTGCCATAATCCCTTTTAAAATTTTTTTCATTGTTTCCTGCTTTAAGAATTTCATTCCATTTTTTTCTTAAGTGCCACTTATTCATTTCTTTATCTATTTATATGTATCAGTTTAGAGCAGTGCTTCTTAACCTGTGAGGTCACAGCTCCCTTTGGGGGAATCAAATGACCCTATCACAGGAGTGACCTAAGATCACCGGAAAACACAGGTATTTATATTATAAGTAATACCAGAAAAATAATAGTTATTAAGTAGCATTGAAAATAATTTTATTGCTGGGGGTCACCACATCATGAGGAAATGTATTAAAGGGTCACAGAATTAGAAAGGTTGAGAACCACTGGTTTTGATCAATGTCTCCTATAGCTCAGGCTTGCTTTACAAGATGTTATTGATAATTGCTTTGAACACCTAATCTTACTTCTGCTGCCCAGTGCTGGAAAGACAGTCATGCAACTCCTTCCAGGCTGGGCCTTCACCAGTATCTGGGAAGAAAAAATAAACAGTAAATGAATATCCTCCAAGTTTTCTAGATTTTATTGTGAATTTACAAATGAACTGATAAACTGTGAGAATTTCATTCACTCACCAACTGTTAAGTAGGTGTAGTCACAGCACAAAAAGGGAGGGACAAGAAGAAGGAAGAAAGATTTCCTGCCACGACAGTGGTTGGCTTTAGCTATGTGTACTCAGGTAATCATTTAGGTGTTCCATAAATGTCATGACTGTTCATTTCTCATTTTCACGGATCAGGCAATCAAGAATATAGATAAAAAACAGAACTTTTCATGACAACAAATTACTGTAGTTACACCATTTCAACCCCTAAATAGAAGAACTGGATAAAAAGGTGCTGCCCTGCCTAACATAACTGTATTTTCCAGGTTTAAAATGATAACCCTGAGAGAAATAGTGTGAATAGTACTTGTTTTGCTCTAATACAAATCCTTAGTCTCTGGAGCACATAACCATAACTCCTGTTTCAACTTTTTAACATAATTTTTTGGGATTATAATTACATTATTTCTACTGTTTCTTTTCTGCCTCCAAGGCCTCCCATAGCCCCTTCCTTGTGTTCTCATCCATGACCTCTTTTTGGTTAACAACAGAGGTTTTTTGAATGTGTTTGGTTGCAGAATCTCCCAGCTTTGAAGCAAAGGGTTGGCTATGCTGGACATTGATTATCTAGTTGAATGTGCACACATAGGACCCTGTGCCTTGTAAGAGGAACGGGAAGTGCTCTGGGAGAGTGGAGGATTTTACTGAACTATGAATTTCCCAGATAAGTAACCTCTCTGACTGTAGTGTGGAGGGCAAAGCTAGGAGGGCTTCTGTGGTTTGAGTCACTTGATCTCTGCTCACCTAGTAGGGTAACTGCTAATGTCCTGAAGCTCAGCAATGTTGTACTAACTAATGAGAAACTTTTGGAAGGCTTAGCCATCAGGAGCACCAGTGAGAGGTAGCTTACAGGTTCTTTCCAGGATTCTCCTCATGTTCTGCTGTGGAACCACAGTAGACCCAAGCCATGCCATGGTGAGTGTGTGGGCCACTGTATCCAGATCAGGAAAAGCAGTTTGGCTAAGCTATCAGAATCATGACTGCTTGGACTGGGATGGACCATGAGCCAGATTGAGGTTCTGTTGGTCCCTGTGTTGACCTAGGCAGTGGACCTAGGCCTCTGAGCTTTGTTGAGTGTGGATTCCCTTGGGAGAAGGAGGTTCTACCATCCTGGCATGGGAAGACTATGAGCCAGTAATATAACTGTCCATGTGCACACACAGGCATTGCTTTTGTTGTGCAGTGGGAAGACTGATTGGAAAACTGAAAGTCTGGTTTCTCGAAGTTCTGGATATTACATTCCACTTTTTGGTTTGTCTTACAAATGTTACAGATAGTTTAAAAACTGATAGAAAGGAGTGTATGGGCATCATCCTTTAGAAATACAGGATTAGAATGCTTTCAACTTTCTGCTACTGATAGTCACCATGCTGTGATTCAGTGAAGTTCAGTTCCAGGGCACAAAATGAGTTTCTGAGCTGTAGAGGTATTTCAGGTAGTATAGTATTTTGCAGGTGAATAGGGAAGATGCCACATCTTGTAACATCATCCATGTGGCAGGAAACAGACATTAAATTATTCTTCACATTATTTTTTGATTGGACATCATTGAGGCTGGGTTTGCCTGAAACTACAAGGGGCAGTAGATGCTATAGGGCCATAGAAGGCTCTGGAAGAGATCACCTACATTTGCTGGGAGGGCCCTAGAGCATGGGGCCTCTCTGTAAGAAATATCAGTAGCTGGAGGATTAGAAAATTAACAGTTTAAGGGTCACTTTTAATTAATTTTGTTGGAGTTGTGAAATCTGTGTTTATTTAATTTCTGTACACATAGAATCATAGGTAGCTGTGTTTGGCTGAGTTTCCTTTGGTATTTTGGTTAAAAGGTGATTTTCCTGCTTTTGTTCTTGGCTTTTTCTCTCCATCCTCTGTGGGAACAACAGACCTTGGAGACCCACTTCCCCATCAGCCTGGGAGCAGGCAGCTGTGAGACAATGTTTACTGAAAACATGTTTACTGTAAACACCCTAACTTTGATCTTTCCATTGGCTAGCTGCCTCTTCCTGCCCCCTGCTGCTGACTCTGGTGTCAGGGATATAACCACCAGCCAGGAGGAGAAAAGGTGTGTGTGGCAGAAGCTTTTCTGCAGGGAAACATTTCTTGGGAAGTTCTCTTGAGCCTTCTTGGGGAGCATAAAGTTTTCTTAAGGCAACAGACTGATCTCTGTGTCATCAATACCGACACCCTGGCCACATTCTCTGATACAGGCTGTGCAGCAGATGCGGCAATCCTCTATTCTTTTACAAATATTGTACACATTCTTGAGTATTGTAGGTTCCCTGTTAAATATAGAAGTCATATTGTATCAATGTGTGTGCTGTTGTGTGTGTATATATATATATATGTTTGCATTGAGTATTCTGAGTGTTTCAACTTTGCATGCAGCTTTGGTATCAGCTGTCCTTTTATAAATTGTTTGGCATTGTTTTTGGATTATATTCAATGTATGGTGCAAATTGACCATAAACAACATCTTAATATTGGTGCATCATGTTCCCTAGGATCATTTATATACTTTATTTATTTACGTGTTGTTAATCTGTGAGACTTTTAGAGTTGTGGATCAAAAGTATTAGTGGGCTTGGCAGGTGACTCAGCACATATTCTCCTTGGTGATGACCTGAGTTCAGATTCCAGAACCCAAATTAAGAGACTCATAACTACCTGCTACTCTAGGTTCAGGGGATCTGATAGATTCTTTTCTGGTGTGTCACCTGTACACAAATTGAAGACTTTCTCTCCAACATACAAACATACACATAAAAAATAGACAAATTTGTTTTCAAAATTTCTTTTGACTCATAGAGTAATTAGAGCAAAACAAGTTATTTTAGGTGTATAATAGAAATCATATATTGGTTCTTTAGAAATCTGTTCTCTTGCATTTTTTTTTTGGAAAAGTTTTCCTTTCCTCATCCTGATGTATACTTAAGGCAATCATCACTCATAGAAAAGTGTTCCTGACTTTTGTGAGTAAGAAGGTAGATATGCCTAGTAAGTATTACATTTTAGTATGCCAAGGGTCATCACACAAGGTTCACACTCTGAATTCCCAAATATAGTCTTAAGGCTATCCCACCAGGGCTGCTCATCTGTGCAATGTATTTTAGCTGATGTTCAGGTTTAGTCTCTAACAGAAGTCTCTGATTCATGGGTCATTATCCTGGGGGAGATGCTCTATCCCTAGGGTTGATCAAGGTGATGTCTCTTCACATGTCTATAGTAGAGCTTTGGTCTCTGTTTATATACTGTCCAGTGGATGTCATGTGGTTCTAAGACCTTGTCTGTGGATCTAGAGTGAGTGATACCACTGAGGTCTGGTTATCAGATACAGCCTTGGGTGTAGTGGGGTTCATGATTAAGCTGTTTTTACATGTCTAAAAGGTCTTTTTTTGACATCTAATGAGATGATCATGTTTTTTTTTCTTTCAGTTTGTTTCTATGACAGATTTTCATATGTTGAACCATCCATGCATCTCTGCGATGAAACCTACTGTATCAGGGTGGATGATTTTTTTCATGTGCTTTTGGATTTGGTTTGCCAGTATTTTATTGAGTATTTTTTTTAACAATGTTCATGAGGAAGATAGGTGTGTAATTCTCTTTCCCAGTTGAGTCTTTGTGTGGTTTGTGTATCATGGTAACTGCAGCCTCATAAAAAGAATTTGGCAATGTTCCTTCTGTTTCTATTGTGTAAAACAAATTTTGGTATAATTCTGCATTGCATTGAAACCATTCAGCCCTGGGCTTTTTTTTTTTTGAGACTTTTAATGACTGCTATTTCTTTAGGGATTATAGGTTTAATTTTGGTATGTGCTACCTATCAAGATAATTGTCCATTTCTTTTAGATTTTCCAATTTTGGGGAGTACAGGTTTTTGAAACATGACCTAAAGATTGTCTGGATTTCTTCAGTGTCTGTTGTTTTATCCCCCTTCTTATTTCTAATTTTGTTAATTTCTATATCTTCTCTCTGCCTTTTAGTTGATTTGGATATCTTGTTGATATCACTGATTCTTGTTATTGTTATTTATTTCTATTTTACTGATTTCAGCCTGGAATTTGATTATTTCCTGCTGTCTACTCCTCCTGGATGTGAGCTTGTTTCTTTATTTTCTAGAGCTTTTAGGTGTGCTGTTAAGTCACTAGCGTGAGATTTCTCCAAATTCTTTATGTAAGCACTTAGTGCTATGAACTTTCTTCTTAGCACTGCTTTCATGGTGTTCCCTAAGTTTGGATATGCCATGGATTCATTTTCATTGAATTTTAGGAAGTCTTTAATTTCTATTTTTATTTCTTCCCTAACCCATTGGTAATTCATTTGAGAGTTGTGTTGTGATCTGGTAAGATTGGTGGGGTTATTCCAATTTTTTTCTATCTTTTCAGATTTGCTTTGTGACCAAGTGGATAATTTTAGAGAAGATCCCATGATGTGTTGAGAAGAAGGTATATTCTTTTGTTTTGGGGAGAACTTTTCTGTAAATATCCGTTAAGTATCTTTAGGTCATAGCATCTATTATTTTGCTTATTTCTCTGAAATTTCTATATAGCAGACCTGTCCACAGGTGACAGTGGGATGTTGAAGTTTCCCGCTATTAATATATGGAGTTTGATGTGTTTATTTGGTGCATAAATGTTAACAATTGAGACTTCATTTTGATCGATTTCTTCTTTGAATATGAAATGTCCTTCAGTTCTTTAAATTAGTTTTAGTTTGAAGCCTATTTTGTTAGATATTAAGGTAGCTACACTGGCTTGCTTCTTAGTTCCATTTGATGGGAAAATTCTTTTTCTCACTCTTTGTTATGCTGGGTGTAGTAGAAGAGAATTTCTGGGTAAACTGGGTGCAGTTGGGGTGGGTGGATAAGATGGCAACAAGTAGTGTCTTGTTTGCTTGGTTGGTGGTGGAAGGAATGGCAGAGTAATTAAAGGTATATCTAGATGGGGGCATTTTGGGGATAGGGAGGAACCTGTTGCTAGGGAAACACCCAGGAATCCACAAGGATTACCCCAGCTAAGATTCCTAATAATAGTGGATATGTACCCTGAAATGGCCATCCCCTATAATCAGATTGGTGACTAGTTGTCATCAGAGAGCCTTCATCCAATAACTGATGAAAGCAGATGCAGAGATCCACAGCTAAGCACTGGGTTGAGCTCTGGGAGTCCTGCTGAAGACATGGAGGAGTACCCAGGAGTATCAAGGTCACAACAGGGGAACCCATGGAGACAGCTCACCGGAGCTCATGGGAACTCATGGACCCTGGACTGAGAGCTAGGCATAGGACTGAAGTAGGCCCTCTGCATGTGTGAAAATTGTGTAGCCTGGTCTGTTTGTGGGGCTCCACACAGTGGGATCACGAACCATGATGGTTTGCCTCCTCCAGCTTTGATGCAGGGGAAGGAACTTGGTCCTGCCTCAACTTGATGCTATGGTTTGTTGACTCCTATGAGAGGCCGGCCCCTTTCTTTAAGTGGGTGGAGGAGGAGTGGATAGGGCTACATGGGAGGTGAGGGGAGGGAGTGGGAGAAGAGGAGGGAGGGGAAACTGTTCAGTATATAAAATAAATGAAAAAAATTTAATAAAATTAATGAACAGAATGAAAAGGTATCAAAGTTATAATACTGTGCGAGAGGCACCTTGGCTGGTGGGTACAAACCACAGCAGGTAAGGGACAAACACTCCCTGCAGACAGAGCTTACAGGAAGTTTTATTAGAGGAAGACCCCCTTGAGGCAATACACAGTGCCAATGGGGACCACATATAAGAATTATTAACAGTTGCATAGCAATCTTCAACTTTGGGCCCCAACAAGAAAAGGAGAAATCATACACTATATATTAAAATTACTAATAAATAAATGATGGAAAATAAATCTCAGGCACTAAAACATACAATTATTAAGCAAAATAATTGTGACAATACAGATGACAGGATATTTATATTTTCTCCATGTTTTGTATGTAACAAGTTGAAAACACATTCAGAAAAAAAAAAAGGAAATACAATCAATCCCACACAAAAATGTTGTTAATGGTGTAGGGTTGGAGCTGTAGGAGACTGAGCTAAGCCAATCATTGCATAGCATCATCCTAACTTGGCCAGTGTCAAGTAGGAGAATGTGGTTCTTGGCCATGGTAGAGGTTTTTCTTATTTTATTAATGAAAAGAACTCAGAGTCCAATAATCTTAATAATTAGCATCTAATGTTTCTTCTAAGCCTTCTTATTTTTGTTACCATTATGAACAAACAAATGATAAACATAAAACACCAGGAATCATGATTTATGCCATATGGTGTGATAGTAGTTTGTTGAGGATGTTGAGGCTGGGATGTGAGTTCATTTGGCTCTGTGGAAAGAAGACTCTGAAATACTTTTAATAATGAACTTAGTCTTTCATAGCTGCTGGGGTCTCCAGCCTCAATGGACTGCAGTGCTTTCCCTATGGTCAGGGCATTTTACTTTTCTCAGTATTTTTACTTTAGCCAGTTGATTACCATATGCTCAGAACAACTTGAATGAGGCTTCCAAAACCACGATGCCAACTGCAAATCTTGATTCATCGGGTACCACAGGTATATCTACTAACAGACATTACTTTAACATGGTGATATCCCATTTAAGGAATTCAGAAATAACAGAGGTGACCCTCCTATTCATTTTTCTTTTTAAGTGACTTGGTGATTGTTACATTAGCTGTATTGTCAGTATAACTTTCTTTTCATACATTTATGGTATATTTTAGAACACAGTGAACTGTGTTGATGTTCATTTTGACTTCATTCAGGAAGAGTGGACTTTGCTGGATCCTTCCCAGAAGAATCTCCATAAAGATGTGATGGTGGAGACTTAGGAACCTCACTGCTATAGGTAAGACTATGAATTTTCCTTCACATTTTAAAATAAGGGGGCAACTGTCTCTTGGTTATTGATGCTCTTCTGTAATTACATTTGAAACTGAGCAAGGATGATGTGAATGAATCAGGCATGTTTCTAAGGTTCACTGAAAGTAATAACTTAAATGTTGCACAATTTCCAATAATATATCATATATTTTCTGGTACTATATTTTATGCTACACAGAAGGTAATTTTAATGTACAAGCTAATACAAATATGCCTCAGAACAAATTTCAAGGTGTCTGGAAGTTTTAAATAAAGTACGTATAATTAAAGTGCATTGATGATTATTAAATTCTCAAAAAACTATATACCTCAGTGTCAAGTAGGTGAATTGTGTTCACAAGGCATAAATTTAAGAGAACAGACAAGGAAACCATGCCTTAATAGATACCACCATTTTAACCATAGCCTCATGATAGCTATGTTGTGTACCTGCCAACCCATTTAGTTTCATACCACTCATGTTACATAAGGTATGCTCATTGAATAAGTCAAAAATACATGTCCAAAATCCTCTAATAAGCAAATAGTTCATAGTAAAGCTTGTGTTATTCACATACTTGTGACTTTGCTAATTTTAGTGAGAGGAGGACTCAAGAGACAAGGGTGGCTGTTGTGGAGAAACCTTATTATCTATACCATATGTCTACAAGGAATAGAAAGTTAAATGGTGTGAATGTAATGTGGACACCTTTTATTTGTTACTCTTCCTTTATTAAGTATATTATATGTCACTCTTGATACAAGCCATAAGAACATAGGGATATCTAAAAAAGCAACAAAGCTCTCTCTCTCTCTCTCTCTCTCTCTCTCAGAACAATTAGAAGATATGTAGCAGTCCCCACTTTGAGTATATTTGTTGAATGTGATGCAAGTTATAAGTAATTGCTTTTCCAGCTTCATTGGAAATATATCAACAAACTCACACTTCAGAAAAGCCTTATCATACTAGGAATATGTATATACTTCTGTTTGTCCTGGTTCACTTTACAAATGTAGTATGACTCATAGTATATAGTAAAATATATGAGTTTTTTTCTGTTCTCTTCAAACATGTGAAAAAAATCTCATATATACAAAAGATGCTATATGAGTATTATATATATATATATAGGTTTTTACGAGACAGGGTTTCTCTGTATTGTTTTGGAGGGTATCGGTCCAGCCCAGCCTCGAACTCACAGAGATCTGCCTGTCTCTGCCTCCCGAGTGCTGGGATTAAAGGCGTGCGCCACCACCGCCCAGCTTAGATATATTATAACAAAGATTATTATTAGAATTTTTCAGAGTTAGTCAATGTTTTGATTTTCTAATCATCAACTCTTAATTTTCATTTGTTATAAACATGCAATACAAAGTGGCAGAAGAATTTTTAAGGCTATTTTGGGAATTGTTGAAATGTTTTATTTAATACAAGATAAATTCCATTGATTTTTTAATAAAATTTAAGTCTTAAAAAAAAAGATGCAATAAATGTGAATCATCACAGGTATATTCAAAGGTCCAAACCAACCTTAATGAAGGGGAACAGCATGAGTGTAAACAGTGATAAAACCTTAAGATCTGATTCTTCTTTATAATTAGACCAAATTGTCATACTGGAGAGAAACCTGAATATTCTTGAGGTGTTAAAGTCTATGTATATCATAATAATCTTTTTTTTTTCTTTTGGTTTTTACAGACAGGGTTTCTCTGTATTGTTTTGGAGGCTATCGGTCCAGCTCAGCCTCGAACTCACAGAGATCCTCCTGCCTCTGCCTCCCGAGTGCTGGGATTAAAGGTGTGCGTCACCACCTCCCGGCTATCATAATCATCTTAAAAGGCATGAAAGAATCCATAATGTAGAGAAAACTTATGAATGGAATGAATGTGGGAAAGCCTTTTTACAACAGAGTTATATCCAAATTCTTAACATTACCCTTACTGGTGAAAACCACTATGAATGTAATCAATGTGCTAAAGGCTTTACACAGGACAGTAATCTCCAAACACATAAAGTAACACATACAGGACAGAAACCCTATGAATGTAGTCAAAGTGGTAAAGCCTTTCACATCACAGTATTCTCTTAATGTATAAAACAACACGTAATGGAGAGGAATTCTATGAAAGTAATGTGGTAAAGCCTTTGTACACCATTGTAGTCTTTGAAATTATGAGAAAAAAATCATACTGCAGAGAAACTATAAATGTAGTCAGTGTGGTAAGGTTTTACACTTTGTGGTGGTATTCAAGAGTAAAACTTTTAGTGTTCAATCATTGTGTTAAAGCCTGTTCTTATCACAATAGTCTTTGAGAATCCGAAAAAACTTGTACAGAAGAAAGTCTGGCTATAAACGATTTTGTAAGATCTTTAGCCAACACGTTTTAGGTACACGAGCATTCCAGAGAAAATAGTTTCACAGTGTCAACTATCTGTTTAAGCAGTATAATGCCCGTCTTTATTTTGTTTGCACTTTAAACTCATATGGAAAAAATCCTACAAATTTAAATGATAAAGTAACTGTGGAGGAAGTCCTGTGATTATGTCAATAAAGCACTGTTGAGCCAATAGGAATCTAGATAGGTGGGACTAGGAGTCCAGGAGGACTCTGGGAAGGAGGAACACGGAGAGTCAAGATGTACCACCATGGGGTAGGAAGCCCGGAACTATTCTCCGGTAAGAGAAATACTTAGATTAACAATTATGGGGTAGTTAGTTAAGTCAGAGCTAGCCAGTAAGAAACAAACAAGGGCAACAGCTTCATAATTAATATAGCCTCATGTGTGTTTATTTGGGACTGATGGGGCTCTAGAACCAGGCTGGCAGGAAGGCTTCTCTCAAAGAAAAAGCTTCTCTTAACAAGTAACCCTTTTAGATTTCCTCTTCAATGACAGGAAATCACGAATTCAGATATAGAACTTTATGGATGTTTATTTGTGCCTCTTCTGTTGTGATATAGCATAATGTCTACATCACCTCATGAAAGAATTTAATCTGACTCTTGGTTCCAGAGTCATACAGGATCACCATGAAAACAGCAAGGCAACAGGTGTCAGATATGGCAGATATAGCAGGATGCTAAGATCTCACATCCTCAACCTGCAGAATGAACCAGACAGTGGGAACTGGAAATGGTATGCAGATGTCAATTATAAAACCATACCCCCAGTGACATATTACCTCCAGCAGGGCATCATTTCCTTAATCATCTCAAATGATACCACCAACTGGGAAGTATTGATTTCTCTGACTTCAGACCTACATGCTCGCTTTTTGTTATATGAAGCAGATCATGATACAGAAAAACTGTAGGTAAGCTTTTATCAGCCTCAACATCTGGGTTATAGGATTGGAAATGTTTAATGATTTTTGTTAATTTTTATTTTGTTATCCAGTGTGTCTTTAGATATGTGCATGTTCTTAGAATGGTAAATCCTTTAGTCTTCATGTATTTATTTCTAACAGAAATTATAGAATGTTGTTAAAAAACTCACCTTGATTCTGGGAAGGGATTTGTCTTAACTGCTTGACCCTGTCTTTATCCCTCTCAATATTTTAGACCTTGGTTTCAATGAAAAGAATCTGTTTCATCTATTTCATTCAATTATGTTGGCAGAGATCACAGCATTGTAGTTTCAGATTTTGAAAGTTTTGTATGAGGTATTAAAATGTCCTGTATATGTGGCAAATCCACATACTGAAGTTTATTTGCTAGTTCATGTATTCCTGGGCTGAACCAAGGACATGTGTACTTTACCACAGATGCACCCAGGGGTAAAGGGGGCTCAGAGGTCCTCCACCCACACCCAGGCTGTTCTTGTTCCTCAGGGGTTCTGCAGCATTCTTTTTTTTGTAAGTTTGTAGTATTAAACTAATTTGGAAGATGAAGTTGGCTTTGCCATGCAACTCTTAATGTGCTGGCTAACTGGCATTTGAAGCTGGTATGTTTTTTGAATAATTTGCCTTATCTTATTCTCAAATTCCTGCCGTCCCCGCACCTGTAACTGGCATTAATCCTTCACTCCTCCTGTCTCCTTTCCCCCTGCCTCTTCCGTCCCCTACTTCCTTCGAAGCTTCCTCCTAAGCTTCCCTGGGTCGTTTCCCTCTCTGGCCCCTTGTCCTCTGCCTTCTTTCCCCCCCTCCTCATGTCCTTCCCTTCCCTGTCCTCTGCTCAGGTACATTTGATGAAGTAACACAGAGTTCGTATGTTCATCTGTGCTGTCTTCCCCAATTAATGCTAGTGTAAAAGCAGCCATTGTAGAACTTGTTCCACCTGACACCCCAAATAAAATCAATACAAAGAGGAGCTTGTGCTGCTGCATGTGAATTTGACTATTTTTGATTTTTGTAATTTGATTATATTTTTCTTCATAGAAGACATGCCAAGACAGTGAAGGAGGGAAATATGTGAATTGTGAGTATGTAAACAGAAGACACAACCAGAAAGAAAGGTTACAAGACAAGTAGAATGCCCTGAAACATTCCTCTGCAGTGACCTCTTTGAAGATCTCAGTATTGAGAAAGAGATATGATCCCAAAAAGGTAAGTAAACACAAAGTGGGTTGGGGTCGAGGTCGGGGTTGGGGTCGGGGTCTGCGACGGGGTCAGGGTAAGGGTCAGGGTGGTTAGGGTCAGGGTCATGGTTAGGGGGTTAGGGTTGGGATTGGATTCGTGTTCAGGTTAGGGGTCAGGGTTAGGGGGTTTAGGGTTTGAGTTCAGGTTCAGGTTAGGGATTCAGGGTTAGGAGTAGGGGTGAAGGTGAGGGGTTAGGGTTACAGATTCAGGGTTAGGGTTAGGGTTTAGGGTTAGCTTTAGGGTTTAGGGTTAGGGTTAGAGGGTTAGGGTTAGGGGTTAGGGTTAGAGGGTTAGAGGGTTAGGATTAGAGGGTTAGAGGGTTAGGGGTTAGAGGTTAGGGTTAGGATTAGGGGTTAGGGGTTAGGGTTAGGTTTAGGGTTTAGGGTTAGAGGGTTAGGGTTAGAGGGTTAGGGTTAGAGGGTTAGGGTTTAGGGTTTAGGGTTTAGGGTTAGGGTTAGGATTGACCTTCAAAATCATGAACTTTCTTTGAAGGGAATGATCCCACCAGTCATGCCGTTCCATCATCCCACCCACCTCTGTCTGATGGCATCCCTGTGTCCCAGACCTTTTAATTACTCACTTGAGTTCATTGTTTAAACATCCTAGCAATTTGTTGGCCTATTGTTTTGAATGGATGGCCAAAATCCACCCATGAGTGTGAATGCTCATCATAGTATTTTCTGAGACTATTGGCTATTTTCAACAGCTCTTTCACCTGGGCCTCCCAGTTTTGACCAGTTTCTTTGTTATTAAAAGCACAAACTGGCTCCTTGCACTTTTTAATTATGCTTTTAAGGGCTTTGTTCTTTGTGTTTCTAGTATAATCACCAAGGTCTCCATCCCCTAGATCTTCCTTCCGTGTAAACAGCACAATCATATATCTCATAATTTTTTCTTGAAACATGGCCTCCAGTTGCTCCACTGCTGCCTCATCATCTTGGGTGAACCGCCCCAGCTGAAGCACCAGAACAAAAACCTTCATTCCTTCTTCACAGAGAGACAAGCAGTATTTGACCTCCTCCTTTAACCTGGAAGGATCCTTTTGAATACCAGGCATCTGGCTGAATGATGGAGTGTCCACAACCACAATATCCTGCCCGTCCACTGTCATCCTGTCACTCTGGCTTCTACTGGTGATGGGCTGAGCTCCTAGTTGAGACAGGAAGGCAGGTTTCCCCAAGATCGTGTTTCCAGTTGCACTCTTCCAGTCCCACTCCTTCCTAGGAGTATGATGTTTAGGAGTTCTGTTGCAGAGGAAAAATGGGATGGACTCATGACTGTGGGATGATGCAGAACTCATCTTTCCAAGTTATTCACAGCACTAGTTTTATCACTAAGCTCGCCAGGCACCACCCAACAGGTCTACCCCACACAGGAGACTGGCTTGCCCAGTTTATGTGGTCTATGTACTCAGCAGAGGGACTTGGACAATCCTCTGCCCATTGCTCATCATGAACATAGCATACCTCCTGTCCTGAATCAACTCTGCTCCCTTTTCCAGGACCTCTCCTTAATCACTGTTACCTATGAGAAACAGTGGCCTTATCTTTGCCTCTTATCTTTGCTGGATCTAGTCCACACATTTCATTTCTATCTTCTGTTCCTAGTGTAACTAAGTCTCCCTATTGTTAACTCCTAATACCCATAGCAAAAATGTCTTTGAAGTATTTGAAAATCTACTCTATACAATTAGATTTTCAGGGTGGGGGAAATCGCAGTTTCTATCAACATATTACCAGTTGTGTTGGTTATCTCATACTAAAATTCATTAAAAGCCTGATTAATCTTACTGTGTCTTTCAATAATGAGCCAAAGGAACTTCCTGATTAAAATAAATGCCACTAATACTGTTCTTTGTGGTGTCAGTGATAGAAGAGAAGGTTCCATGTAAATAGTACTTGTAGGTGCAAAGATCTGATTATATTTACTTTCAGGTGTTCCTGATGCCTTTCTACTTTGCACTGTGTCCCTCCTCAATGGTTCTCCATCATGAACGAACCCCTTATCAAGTCACTAGTGTCTACTTCAAACCAAAGAGGGAGGAAAGCCCATCTTGGTCTCCCTTCCAGGACAACTAGTGAGCCACTCATGCTAAACTCGGTCTCATAGCTATGCTTAAAGGGTGAAAATAAATCAATGATCTGAACCAACATATGCATGCGTGCATCACATACACACATTTAAGCACACACTCACACACGCATGCTCCAGCACTCATGTCATGTGTTCCAATCCCTACTTCTGTATTTAGGAAAGACTCAGTTGCCAAGTCTCTCTGAAATCTGATCCAACCTTTCTGCCATTTGAAGCCCTGTTTCCATCAGGACCGTTCTCATCTCCTGCTAAGAGGCATGCTCCTCTATATGCACAGAGAGGCCAGAGGACAAGCACTACTGTCATTCCTCAGCCACAGTCTACCCCTGGTTTTAGAGACAGAGTCTCTCACTAACCTGGAACATGATTAGTAAGAAAAGCTGGCCAGCAAGTCTTAGAGATCCACCATGCCTGGCTTTTTTGACATGAGTTCTGGGGACCAAACTCAGATTTTCATGCTAGTTAAGCAAGTAAATCATCTTCTAAACTCTACTTACACATTCTTATTGTTTCCCATATCCAGATCAGGGAAGAATAAATAATCCAGAGAAAGTTCTGAGGTAAGAGAACAGAAAAGCCAACAAGTGAACAGAAGCAACAGCAGACTGAAACAGCAAGAAGACTGGGAGAGGTCTCCATGGTGGAGAGGTGGGATAGGGGTCAGGAAGGAATTAAAAACCAGCCATGAGAGTATACATTAAAAAACACACAACTTTAGGAAAATTTAAAGAAGAGACCAAAGTATGGTTTTTGAGACAGGGTCTTATTTAAACCAGGTTGGCCTTGAACTCACTACTTAGCCAATAAACTTGAACTTCTGGTCCTCCTGACTCTACTTCCCAAGTGTTGGGACTACAGGAAAATACCACCACGCCCAGCTGATGACCTGCTGGGGATCAGATACCCTAGTGCATGCTGGGTAAACACTGTACTGAGCTACATCCCCAACATGGTCCTTTGCTCACCCTCTGCCCTTCCTTCAGAGAGTTCTAGATCATGCCTTACATCCCAAGCTCTGGATACAAAGCCATTTCCTATGCTTAGCCTTACCTTTCTCCCTGAAAATACAAGGCTTGTTGCCGTTGCACTGCACCATGCTCTCAACTTGGCCCAGGAGTTTGTTCACCTGCCTCCACTCCTCCTCCACAGTCACCCGATAGTTGAAAGCAGTATATCTTTTTTCAAATTTCAAGACGAGCTCCTGGAGATTGCTGTTTTTACTTATAAATTCATCTAGAGCCTGATCCTCTAAATCTTCTTTCCTGGTAAAGAGAATAATTGGGAACTTGGTGAATTTTTCTCCAAAAATATTTTTGACAGGGTTGAACATATTGTCATCACTCTTTATCAAAGAGTTCAGTGGTGTCACCAGCAGGAAGGCATGGGGGCCCAGAGAGACGTGCTCCTTGACTTCAGATGCATCAGGCTTCCACGATGAGATCTCTGGAGAATCAATGACCAGAACTTTCTTCCCATTCCAGATCCTGCTGCGGGATGAAAAGACCTTGGTGACCTGCTGCTCACTGTACTGAGTCTTAAAGGGCCGCTTCCCCAGAATGCTGTTCCCTGCTGCACTTTTCCCAACACCACACTTCCCCATGAGGAGGACCCTCAGTTCCGGCATCTCTACATCCTGATGTGGTCCTGGAATCTGAGGCTGTCTCTTCTTTGGACATGTGAGACAAGAAAAATAAAAATGGATCCAGGGTCTCCTCCTGCAGTTGGATACAGATGTGAACTGCTCTAGAAAGCCCCATCCCTCTGATTGAGCAGGCCTCTATTCTCAGGCAGAACCCAGACACCCAAGTAGAAACCATGGGAAGAAGGAAAGAACTAGAAGGAATACAGGAAGCCTAGGTTTTCCAGAAGAATGACTATGCTAAATTGAACTTCTACTGGAACTCATTCTTCAAAAGTGAGTATTATAGTATGAGGTCATGGACTAAGGCAAGGGCTGTGACAATCTGATTATAAAATGCCCCTTAGCCTAATACGCACATAACAAAATATGTGAGTATATTTTTTTAACATGTGTGAAACTCAAAAGCATGCTTAATGGAAGAAGCCAGACACAAAACTGACATCTGTATGGCTCATTATCTGAAGTTCAGAACAGGACAAATTATCTATGTTTATAGGAGTCTGGGGAGTAGTTGTCTATGGGAGGAGGCTGTAAGAACTGTTGTTCTTCACAGAGGAGAGGATATTATTTTTGCATTAACTTTCCAATTAACACACAAAATAAATTTTTGACCATTTGTGTTTATTGTTGCATTATTTACAATAAAATAATTAGCCTGGAAACCATCAACAATTAAAAAGAAAATGTGATAAGGGGTCTAGTGTGACATCTCAGATGCTAAACAACTTGCCTTGAAAGAATGAGGGTTCTAGCTCAATGTCCAGAACCCATGAAAAAATTAAAAATCCAAGCATGGTGGTGCACTCTTGGAATCCCAGCACTATGGGAGCAGAGTCAGGAAGATCCCTAGAGCACAGGTAGTCTTGTCTACAGGGTGAGTTCCAGGCCAAGACTGGATCTTGTCTCATTAAAAAAAGTGCATGGTGCTGGGCGGTGGTGGCGCACACCTTTAATCTCAATACTCGGGAGGCAGAGGCAGGCGGATCTCTGTGAGTTTGAGGCTGGGCTGGACCGAC